TAACAACAAGTCCTTTGTTACGCTTTATCATACCGGGTAAAACCAGTTCAATCATCTGAAAAATTTAGTACATTTAGATAGTCCTTTACCTGTTTTTAATTTCATTTCTTGTTGGCTGTAGTCCTTCAACAATTGTGCTTTGAAAATACGTGACATAAACTGTAAACTGCCATTCACAAACACATTTTCACCTAGGTATACTTTGCTTTTACATGTAATTTTTTCTGTTTCTAGTTTTTTCGTTTCAATTCATAGTTTATAGAAGTTATAAATATAAAAAATTGGTAGTGATGTAGCAAGATGAAACAGCGATGAAGGGAAGGTCTCAATTTCTGCTTTGAAAGTTATCGTAATAAATAAAAATGACATTATCGCTTTTATTATATCTTCTTAAAAAGTTTTTACTTTCAATTTAAAATAAGTGTAATTTGAGGAGAAGTGAGAGAGCTCAGAGAGTGGATAGACAATCTTGATCATTTTGATTCTTGGTTTTTCTTATGCCAATGCGACTTTCTTTTCTTTTATACACCTCTGCAGTCTGTAAAGAGACATAAGTCTTTCCCTACAATGGCTTTTAGGCTCATTTCGAGGTTGTAGAAGATGAAAGTTACGGCAGTAAACAGCTAGCAGAATCAGAAGTTCGCCTGTTAACTGTGTATTCCAAAACTAACAGCTAAATTTGAATTTTTGCTTAGATTTTGGCAGCTTAAGCGAACTTGCACTAACAGCATATGCTGTTGAACAAAGGAATATATAGTGATAGAAACTTTTACTGAGAGCGATATTTCAGATAAAATTACTGAAAATTCACCTTGATAGTTGACATTAAGTTAACACGTATAATTTGCGATGCTTGATCTTCTGGTTGATCTATTAGATTTGCTACTGATTGTGGTCCTGTTCCGACACAGTTTACTGAAACGTTATATGAAAATATCATTAGCGTTATGGTTGCAGTCATGAGCCTTCTACCCGCTAATGGTAAAATTTTATGAGTTATAAGAAATTTTTTTCTTGATTTGTAATTAGAATAAAATAAAGCAAAATTAACATAAATAGTCAGCAATCTTTTGTAGGACTGCAGAATTGCCTATTAATTTTCACAAGAATTTTTGCATTTAACTCTATGTTTATTCAGCTCTAAAACTCCCTCTCTTTTATTTCTCATCACATTGGAATGTTAAACGAATATGTGGTAAGCTGAAATAAAGCAGTGATGAGTGCAATTCAAATTAGTGGTATTAGATAAATACAGAAGCATTAGTTATTTGAACACTTTATTACTCAGAAAATGAGGGGAAGAAGGCGTTATTCATTTCTTCAAATTTGGCAAAAAAATTATCTTCTTTGAATATAGAGAAGAGTGAATGGCGACAACTTACTCAATATCCCAATTTCAATTTGCTTCATCTCGGATGACAGTGCTTCATAATTATCGTTGTCGAAATTAAACACGGTGTAATGTACTTCAGCACCATAACGTTCTTCTAAACATGTTCATAATATACATATGTGTATCTGTTACAGCTTACAGATGAAAGTTCTAAACATACTTGACTAATTTTTGTAAAAAAAAAGGCTATTCTCAGTAGAAGAGGATGTCTTAGAT